TTACCATGTTCAATCTGAATTTTCTTCAAAATAAAAAACATCTATATTGATTCTGACTTTTCTACATCCAACTCAAAGGTTTATCATTACTTTGAGAATTTTTTTTAATAATTTAACCCTTTTAGAAGGGAAGATATAGTCATTTGTTCTGAGAATGTCATTTTCGAGCCTGAAACCTGAAAAACAGGCTTGGGGCTTAAGAGGATTTATAGTCTGGACAGCTGCTGAATGCTAAATTGCCATACACTTTTCAGTGCAAAGTTTGAGTATTACTCCAAAGACCCAAACCGAGCAAGGGTGCGCCCTGGTGTTCATTTAACTGAATGACAACTCAAGGAGTCCACTAATCTGGTGAAAAATAACCTGCAAAGATGTCATCCTGCAATTACTTTTGGGGGATGGGGTTGTTATGTAAGCCTACAGACAGGAAGCAGCAGTCTGTAGAGATGTCACCTTCTAGTTGAGCTTTGGAAGCATCACCAGATAAGCTGTCGATTGTGTTCATGACGATCTTATAAATACATGTTGAAATACTACAACAGACTGTAGGAATACAATATAGCCTATAGCTCAGCCCAAAATGAATAAAATCAAACACATAGCCTGACCTTGACTTAACATTTCAACTATGTCAGTCCCTGTTGTGTATTCTTCCAGTCTCTGTAAAAAAAAGTTCAGATTGAGGTGGGAGTCTGTCATGTTTTTTCCAGTTAAAAGTCTAATTTTGAGATTTGGTTCAGCAATGTCTGCACAGTTTGTTGAGAAGATAACTGTGAAGAGACTGCATTTTGTTGTAAACCACACACTCTTTAAATAGGCTACAAAGCTAAACCACAAGTATGTACATGTTCTCAGCAAAATGTGTATTTTGCCAAAATGATGCTGTTACTGAATTGAGTGAAGAGCAAGGTATGTTGAAAACTGAAGTGCATAGAACAAAAGCGAGACAGTTTGATAGTCAGGAAATGCCAGATTGTGACTGTGAGAGAGGTATACACAATGAAAGGGTTATCTTCGCTACAACTTAAACAGAATGTATATGAGACTCTTCTTCTTGGTTTTATAAAATACAAATAATATTACCATCTTCTTTACTTCTTTACATCTTTCTTTACTTCTTTACTTATATACACACTTGGGTGTTACATTTCAGTCACTAGGTCAGCTTACATTAAAGGAAAAATATATATAAGAGCTCTAATTCAACATGTGTCCTGTATGTCAGAGGAAATTTGACACATTTTGATATGAAATGTAAGTGGCTGCCTCAGATTGTATGGAAATCATTGAAAAACATGTATACAGTATATTCCTAATGTGTTTATATATTGCAGAGATATTATTATATGCCATGCAGTAGCGTAGTTTGCTGTGTAGTAAGCGGTTATTATAATAATGCAAGGTTGCTTAGTTAGTCAGAACCATGATCAGAACGCAACCAATGCGGAACCAAAGTACAGCAGCAAACGTTTCCGGCCGGAGGACTATTACCACGGACAGTTTTCTGTTTACACGATCACAACGTGGGTTACTGACAGAACTTTGTTGGCATGTTAGGGAGTAAAACCAAAAGTCACTAATATCAGTTTTTCCTGCATATTAAAATGGGTAAAAAGCGCGAAAACGAAGTCTCGGTGGAGTCAAACATTCCGCTGAAAAAAGAAGTCTCGGAGTTCAATGGGACTGTATTTAAAGCCATGCTGAAGGAACCAGCCACAGTCATGAGAGGTGAGTTTATTTGGTACAGTTTGCCTACATCTCACGGGAGTGCAAATAAGATATCATCGTAATTATTTAATACATAACTGTACCACTTGTGTTCGCCTGCAGGACTGGAGAGATTCGTTTCCACCGCTAAGAAGCTGCCATGCTCTGATCTGTATGATGTGGTGGAAGGATATATTAAAATTTCTATGGAGTGTGCTGAAATATTCAAATTGCTAGAGAGAGAAAAGCACGTAGAGACTGAGGTAAGTGCCTTTCACAGTCAATGTTACTGAAACTGTAAGTGGATCTAATCCAATCCTGCCTCTGTCCAGATGATGCTGATCTTTGAGAGCTTGGAGATGATCCTCCTCCGGACAGCCAGTGACCTGTCCCACTTCAGCATGGTGGGCAATGCTATTGTGAAAAAGATTGTTTCTAGCCACGTGAAACTCCTGCAGGGATCCTTCCAATCAGAAAATCACAGGTTGGAGTGTTAACCTAATTTCTAGGACTTCAAATATCAGTCCTCTCAGGACAGTTTAAATATTTCCCATCATTTTGTGTTTTCCTTTGTGCACAGGTTCGTCCGTCAGTGCCTCAGTCTCCTGTCAGCCTTGGTGTCTCAGGGTCAAGAAGCTGCAAGAGATGTCCTGAGTAACATTCAAGTCAACAAAGCTCTGTCTGGACTGGCAAAGAGAAGGGATAAGAGGGTATGGAGTGCCAATTGAACTTTTCAGTTTTGATTTGGTTTGTTGGATTCTGTGGATATGTATGTTTAAAATCTTCTCTGAAAACACCCCAGGGAAGACCTGATGTCCGCATGGCTTATATCCAGTTTGTGCTGTCCTTTTTGGTGTCTGGAGACAATGCTACAGTTGGACAGTTATTAGAAATCAAAGGTAATTAAATATGCATTCAAATGTACGCGATCGACTTGTATCTCAGGTGTGTTGATGACATGTACGTTTTTGGTGTGTCAGAACTCCTACCAGAGATCCTGAGTACGGGTGTGAAGGAGGACAGGATGTCTATCGTCAATCTGATTTTGTCTACACTGAAGACAAGAGTAAGTGCTCATAATTGTACACATTTATGTAACATGAGTGGGGATGAAATATAACTTAATGACGACCATTGTATTAACCATGTTGTTCTCTTATATTAATATTTTTTCTTCATATACAAGTGATGTTCCGTGCTAATACATTTCTTGGTGTCATGAAATCTTGAATGTAGTGTAATTTTATCATCCTGTAAAAATCTAAATTATACACATAATTTTACACATTTAAACAATCAATGTATGGTTTTGTTAATTGCATTTGTTTCTGTTTGTCTTGCTGCAGGTGGTGATAAACAAGGGCATAAGTAAGACACAGAAAGTGCGTTTTTTCACACCTGTTGTATTGGCCAACATAGCATCTCTGTATAAATGGAATGGGATTGAGGATGCAACCACTGATGATGACAGAGTGAGTTACTACCTTTTTACATTATTTTACTGTTGTCATTTTCTTTTCAACCTGTGAGTCTAAATGTTACTTATCTCCTTTAAGATGGTAGACGACTCGGAGCATGCTGGGCAATCAGTCATTCGGGAACTTGTTCACAGTTTCCTTCTTGACATTTGTTGCTCTCGTAAGCACGGCATCAGCTTTCATGATGCCAGCTTTGGCACAGCTGGCAGGTAAGTAATCAATCCGTCAATGTACCTTTCGCTCTTCTGGAATGTCCTCGTGCTGATCATAGGACTTTGGTTTTGTTTCCCAGAGCTGGCAACATTGTCTTGCTTCAGTTCCTGGTGGGGCAGAAGCAGGCCACAGAGGATGAGTTGGTGACGGAGCTGGTGGTGAATGTGTTGAAAGCTACCCCTGACATGCTGGCCAGATACTTTCAGGAGACGCAGTATTCATATACCCCCCGCCTCAAAAGTGCTTGGCAGGACAATGTCAAGTTACTTAAAAAGGTACTTGCTAGTAGATTAGATTGGTATAAGACTAATTAGCTTTTGGCTCACATATAGCTTTTCTATTAAACAAATATTTAAGGTAAGGTACGTTTATTTATATAGACACAGGCAATTCAAAGTGCTTTACATCATCATTAACACTTAATAAGAAGACAAAAAGGAACACAATAAATAAACATAATGGAATAACAGATTCATAAAAACCATGCATAAAAGAGATACAGAATAGTTTAAAAACAAGATTGTAAATACAGTAGATGCTAAAACAAGTTAAAATACTTTTTGGTAAGCAGCTGTAAAAAGTTGTGTTTTTAGCCTCGACTTAAAATAACTCAGCGTTGGTGAAGACTTCAGGTTTTCTGGACGTTTTTTTCCTTTTGTGGGGAGCATAATAAATATATAATGATGCCTTGTGAATGTATTTGTCAGATCTACGAAGCCCAGCCAGAGATTTCCACAGTCTTCCAAACTCGTGAAGTCGTCCCTCTCCCTCGCCTGCTGTCCATGATCATGGTGGTTTCTCTTCCTCCGGTCTGCAACAAGGCCTTCTTCACACAGGGCCTCACTGTAAGTGTCCGAGACTCACGCAATGCATTAATAACTGCAGAACCACAAAACACTCACCATGTGAAGAACCTCGTCATGTTATATTAGAATATCTCTTTTTGTATTTGACAGTTTGCCAACACAGGTGTGCAGCTCACCACTCTGTCCATGATGAATTTCATCTTAAAAAGAGCCAATAGGAACATGAACTACCTTTTGGATAAGTCCGAGTGGCACAGCGCGGATGGATACACTCTGGAAATGATGGGGGATTTGGTGCTGCAGTACAGGGAGATTCTCAGCAAGGTAAGCTCAGGAATGTGCAGTCTGAATGTCCACACACAGATATGAAGCACCATTAAACTAATCTTCATGCTCTGTTCCAGATTCTGCCAGATATGACGAGCATAGTTTCCAAGTGGCAGTCACTTAGCAAGAAAGAAAAGACGGATGGTGACGAAAAAAAGACAAAAACTGAAGGGGTCGCTGAGCAGACGACTAATAAAAGCGAAGTGCCCGGTAATAATACTTGCATAACATGTTTTGAGTATATTGATTGTCAGTCCTCTAAAAACATTTATTTACTTTATTTGTTGTGCTCAGCAGTTGCTGAGACAGCCGAGGTAATTCTGCTGAAGACTCTGATTCTCCAAGTCATCTGTCTCTACCAGAAAGTCGTGCCACATCTGGTTAGCCAGTGCAAATTTGATTTCAGCAAGCTCTTAAAAGGTAATGCTTTTTTATTTATTTATTGAGTTCACATATAAGTTATACTGTATGATGCTCTTGGGTCTTAAAGTACCTTTTGTTTATCCTCTCCAGGGATTGTGTCTGAGAAAGGGATGAGGGAAGAAGTTCCTCCAGTTTTGCAGTATCAGATTCTGCAGTTGGCCTTAGATCTCCCTGCAAGCAAGTTCTCCTGGTTTCGCATACAGGTGAAAATGTTGCACTGTTGTTGTTTTGTTCACTATTTCATCTATATTTCTCAATGATTGCTGTCTAGAAGGTGTTGCTTTGTTTTAACGTGTTGTATATTGCCTTTTCTTCCCAGGATGTCGACACCGAATCATCATCTGGAGAGAAGTCAGTACTGTACCTGCTGCTCATGATGTTTGTCAGCAGCAGCAGCAGCCACCTGAAGAGCTCCACACGACTGCTGGTTCTAAAAGTAAGGAACTTGTCCTTGTTTTCCTCTGTGCATTTGATTCCTGCCTACACTATATGTGACCCGCTCTATCCAAATCAGTCGGAAGTCGCAACGGCTCATTTCAAAATAAACGTGGATTTGCGTAAAAAACTATTTTTTCAGGGTTCGGGTGTTTTGTTTGATTTTAAACAAACAAAGTCTTGGCTTTCAGAATATGAAACTTGAATCGGCAAATTCAGATGATAAAATGACAACTTTGAAGCTTGTAACGGCATAATTACAAGCGGAGAACGGAGTAACTTAACGTCACAGCAGGCATAACAACAGCCGGTGTTTCTCGTGAGGGTTTTCCCCCGGGAAACAAACGCAATACACACAAACGCAAAAATACACAAACACACACACACGTATACACACACACACACACACTCGCGAGCTTCCCCCAGACCAGTAATCCAAATGAAAATATCTTCCCTCCGTAGTATTTTGATCATTTGCTCCGCTAATAATCAATCAGATCGATGGATTCCAGAGAAGAGAAAACTTTGAAGGCCTTTTTCTCAAAATGATGACTCGGT